CTGGGGCGCTGCCGGTTGGTCCCGTAGCGCCGCTCTGGGTGCCACTGGACCCCCCCGCCACCCCCCCAGCTGCTCTGCCCCAGGTGTCCCCTAGTCAGCAGCTGCTGAAAATGACCAGTGGCTGACTAGAGGAAGCCCCTGCCCCGGGCTTTCTGGAATCAGCCGCTGATCAGTTTCAGCAGCGGCTGAATCTGGACGCCAGTTCCGACTTACATACAGATTCAACTTAAGAACAAACCTACAGTCCCTATCTTGTACGTAACCCGGGAACTGCCTGTACTCCTTACTGTTGCAGAGAGTATGGGAAATTCACAGGAGAATGTGGCTGTCACAGAAAATTGATGTAAGGTACCTCGAATCCAACTATGCAATTTATGTAGCTCAAGTTGTTTATCTTACATTGATTTTTCTCCGCTAGTGTAAATCTGGCCTCAGGTTCTCTTCTTCCTACAACTATAATCTAATGCAGGGGTGAGAAATAATTTTTGCCCTGGGGCCACTTAAATTTTTTTTGAAGTAGCCCTGGACCACCCTGGGAGGGGCAAGGCCTAAACAGAAAGGGGTGGGGCTACCCAGCCCCAGACCATCATTGGTCTGGGGATGGGGGTGCCCCTTTGTCCCCCCCCTTCCCATTAAGCACCCATGCCCTGGAAGAGGCTTGGCCCGCTCCTACACCCTCAGGCCAATCAGGGCCTGGGGGTAGGGGAGCACAGAAAGCCTCCTCCCGCCCTGTGAGGAGCACGTGGCAATTTGAAGTACCGCGGGCTCCTCGCAGGGCAGGGCGAAGGAAGCTTCATGCAGCTCCCCCCAGCCCCAGGCCCTGATTGGCCTGGGGGTAGGGGAGCAGCAGGGTCTCTGCAGGCTGGATCCACCTGCTTAGTGGACCGGATTCAGCCTGTGGAGGCCCTTTTGCTCACCCATCATCTAATGTCTGAAGACAGTGTCAGTGGAGAGGTTTTGATTTATGCCAGCTGAACATGTGGCCCTCCGTTTTTGTTTGTTTTTGTTTTTACAGGGCTGGATAATACTGACCTCACTTGGGCAGAAGAACATAAACTTCTTTTCTGACAATATTTTTCAGTAGTTTGTTATGATAAATCATAACGAAAATATTCAGCAGCCTGGAGCTAAAACACTGGGTTTGTGCAATAATATTGCTGAGTATTGTTTCATAGTATTTTTTATTAGATACTAATTAGAAATGTTTGCGATATAAATTCTTATCAGCTTAATTGTCCTTTCTTCTGGCATTCATTCTTGCTTCCAAGTTGACACTACAGCATGCACGTGCTATGAAATCCAAGTCCTGCTGTATTAAAACTGTAGCAAGAAAAGACATCCTAACCAAAAGGACATGTTTCTGGCCTATCAATACAAACTAAATTTCTTGTATTCCTTCTTTTATTTTATTTTTTTTGGTCTGATTTATTAACTGATCCTTGAAATCCTATTCATGTCGGTGGTCCTCATTCATGTCCCATTGGAATTCTTAAGTGAAATCCTGGCCCTACTAAAGTCTAAAGAAGTCTAGTAATTGACTTAACTGGGACCAGAATTTCACTGCTTCTGTGAATAAAATATTGTAGGATCAGATTGTATGTAAACTCTTCAGAGCAAGGTAGTTAGACTAGATTTTGAACTCTATTACCTCAGAGTGAATCCCAGCTAACATCACTGATTTTCTAACAAAACCACTACCATGTACTGAAGTTTGTAGATTTGTGAGTATTGAGCAATTTAATAAAACAAGGGTAACGCATCCTTTTATTTTGACGAATGCATCATTAAAATATTTAAAATGCTTTTATTAACGATACAGGGAAAAGAGAGAGGGAAGAGAAAAGGTTAAAGCATTTGAACTACAGCCTGCGTGTAACTGTGAAGGTTAACCAGTGAGCCCAGGCTCTTGGGGTATGTCTACACTAGCCCCCTAGTTCGAACTAGGGAGGCTAATTCAGGCATTCGAAGTTGCAAATGAAGCCCGGGATTTAAATATCCCGAGCTTCATTTGCATCTTCCCGGGCGCTGCCATTTTTAAATCCCTCTCCTTGTAGAACGAGGTGTACCGGTAGTTCGAATTAGAGATCCTAATTCGAACTACCTACTCCGGGCCGTGTGTAGCCGCGGGCACGGAGTTCGGACTAAGGGGGATTTAAAAATGGCGGCGCCCGGGAAGATGAAAATGAAGCCCGGGATATTTAAATCCCGGGCTTCATTTGCAACTTCGAATGCCTGAATTAGCCTCCCTAGTTCGAACTAGGGGGCTAGTGTAGACATACCCCAAGAGCCTGGGCTCACTGGTTAACCTTCACAGTTACCACTTACATGTCTCTAATGATTTAAGACCCAATGATGTTATGCTGGATCCCATGGTGCCAGGAGATGTGAGGGGAGGAAGGGGGCAGTCATAATGGAAAGCTCACTCCTTTCTATTCTTTCAGTCAATAATGGTTGCATCTGCCTGCTCTATCAATTTTCCTCCCAAAGTGGCTCTTGTTGTTTTTCTTAAAAAGGACTCCAAAAGGGAGTGATGGCTGGAATTGCCCTTCCCTTCATTTTTTGTTCAACAGTTAGGCTTTGTTTCTGACATACTATTTTTGGTTTCTTGATTTCCAGTTCCACGCTTCTTTTGTTTAGCAGGCATTATATTATTCTTGAGTTATGTCAGTAGCCCTTTTAGTTTGGATTAATTCAATTGCCTCGCTTTTGCGCTTTTTCCCATCAATATTCATTGTCATACGGGAGAGACAGAAAGAGGCTTGGCTTTCTACTGTATCCCACACACCTTGGGTCTGGCATTGATGGCATCCTGCAGAGAGAGAACTTCTATCCTCGCTGGCTGGAGGA